AAGGTAGAGGTAAAGGAGGAGAAAAGTTCTAATAAAATATCCTGTCAGTATACAATACCACACGATATCATACAAACCCACCTCACCCAACATAGGCCCCAAAACCATCCAAAACCCTATTAAACCATATAAAATCAACCCTTTCCAATCCTTTCCCAGCATTCCTCCCCCAACCCCTTTCACATCCCTTCTTCCCAAACAGCAAAACCGAAATTATTCCTGGGGTATGTAACCCCTAAATCACATATGGAAAATTACCCCCCTTACAAACAAGGAACCCATCTCAGCCAACATAGACCAATATGGGCCCCAAAACCATCTTAAAATCTCACAAAACCAATCCCTTTCATAACAAAACCGAAATTATTCCTGGGGTATATAACCCCTAAATCACACATAAAAAATTACCCCCCTTACAAACAAAAAATCCATCTCACCCAACATAAACCCCAAAACCATCCAAAAATTACTAAACCACACAAAACTAACCCTTTCCAACTTTTCCCACCCTTTCACAACAAAACCAAAATTATTCCTAGGATATATAACCCCTAAACCACACATAAAAAATTATTATCATTACAAACAAAAAACCCATCTCACCCAATATAGGCCCCAAAACCCTACTACCTTTTGTATTTTCTTGTTTTCTGTTTTTTTCCAATATTTTCTATTTTTTTCTTAATAAATTATTTTAAATTAATATTAAGTATAGAATTCCAATATTATTCCTAATACCTTAAGATATCTCCCCTACCTATTATAAGGAATTATTATTCCTAGGAAATTATTTTAATAAAATTATTCCATCAACCCACAATATATCCTTAAATAATTAATTAAATATCCCAATATAAAATCTAATAACCCCCACCTAACAAATAAAAAATAAATATTACTATTATTTTTTTTTTTCAAAATAAATATACCATATTATTCAATATTTTTAAAAAAATAATAATAAATAAATTAATATAAAAAAATTAAATAAATAACATAATAATTATAATATATCATTTATTAATTATTTATATTTCTCAAATATTAATTAAATTTAATTAATATATATATATATTTTTAAAAATAAACCCTATTAACATTTATATTAAAATAATATATAAAATTTATATTTAAATATATTATAAATTAATATAAATAAATAAATTAATAAATTTAAATAAATTATAATATAATATATATTATAATTTATTTATTATATAAATTTTATATATTTTAATATATTTTATAATTAAATTAAATTTTAATATTAATAATTATATATATAAGATCAAAAATTATTAATTAATTTAAATTATATACATAATATTAATTTAATAATATTTATTAATATTTAAATTATATTTCAAATATATTAAATAATAGTTTTTTTTATATTATTAAATATATTTTATTTTATTTATTATTATTTATATTTTATTATATTTCTTAATATTTCGTTTTTTACATATTATATATATATATTATATTTGCGAAAAAAATCTTTATTATTTATTTTAATATATTCACTAATATAGGAATTCCAAATTATAATAATCATTGCATGTTATTGCCGGAACTCAAGCAGTTAAGGTCCGGCAGTGCCCAGTGAGATCTGAAGCTCGCGGTTGAAGTCCAGCAGTGTACATTGAAATCTGGAGCTTGCGGTTGAGGTCCGGCAGTGGCCACTGAAATTTAAAGCTTGCGAATAAGGTCCGGCAATGTCCACTGAGATCGGGAGCTTGTGGTTGAGGCCCGGCAATGCCCACTGGGAGCTTGCAGTTGAGGTCCGGCAGTGCCCGCTGAGATCTGGGGCTTGCGGTTGAGGTCCGGCAGTGCCCACTGAGATCTAGAGCTTGCGGTTGAAGTCCGGCAGTGTCCATCTGGAGGGTTGATGCCCGGCAGTGACCACTGTGAGGTCCGGCAGTGCACACTGAGATCTGGGGCTTGCGGTTGAGGTCCGGCAGTGACCACTGTGATCTCTGGCAGTGCCCACTGAGATCTGGAGCTTGCGGTTGAGGTCCGGCAGTGTCCATCTGGAGGGTTGATGCCCGGCAGTGACCACTGTGAGGTCCGGCAGTGCCCACTGAGATCTGGAGCTTGCGGTTGAGGTCCGGCAGTGTCCATCTGGAAGGTTGATGTCCGGCAGTGACCACTGTGAGGCCCGGCAGTGCCCACTGAGATCTGGAGCTTGCGGTTGAGGTGCGGCAGTGTCCATCTGGAGGGTTGATGCCCGGCAGTGATCACTGTTAGGTCCGGCAGTGCCCACTGAGATCTGGAGCTTGCGGTTGAGGTCCGGCAGTGACCACTGTGATCTCCGGCAGTGCCCACTGAGATCTGGAGCTTGCGGTTGAGGTCCGGCAGTGACCACTGTGAGGTCCGGCAGTGCCCACTGAGATCTGGAGCTTGCGGTTGAGGTCCGGCAATAATATTGGATTTGTTTAAAAATTATTCATATTCAATTTTGCGTTGTTGCTAGCGGCACGACATTTGTAGTAGTCAACCTGCAGTCCATGGAGTTCCATGTGCCATTACAGGCTGATAGTCATGGGCCATCATGGGAAATCAAGGGGAAAATCATCTATGACTGGGTGTGTCATATGTTTTTGATGGGACAATATAGTAATGGGATAATTATATATTATATATATGTATATACTAGATCCTTGACCTATCACATTATGGTGATATGTCTTGGTGATATGACCGGATATATTCAATATTACCAACTTGATGTGACATACTGGCGTTTGAAAAATGGGCACGCCATACCCCACACAATGGCAAACATATGATCAACAATGATCAGCCTCCGGATTTTAGGGTACACTTTTGGAGAACCCCACATGTCAGCAGGGTCCACCAAGAATACTAGCAGTAAAAATTGTCTTTGAACGTCTTTAAAAGGTTGGTTGCCGGCTGGGTCCACAGTCAACTGCGGGAGATCTCAGCTTCGGGTGCTGAGATCACAAGATAAAATCAGGCACAATATGCTTTGCTGTTATCTGTTTATGCAGTTTACCAGTGACGGGTCAACCTCTTTCCGACCCCCCACACGGAGCACCGCTCTGAAGTTTTTTTGTCTAGGCTACTGACGCAACATGTCATCAACATGACGCATCATAATGCACCATATTCACCCGCTCTCGCTTTGCGAGTGGTGAATCAATCCGGAAAGCACGGAGTCACAGCCTTAGCTGGGGCTACATGGCAGGTTTAAAACATGCAACATTCAATAATGGTTCAGTATTCAAGATATTCAAACAAGACCTAATCATATCTTTTCTGTTGAGATTTTGAAGCAATGACAACATAGCAAGATTCAGCAGGTACACGTGAACAATACAAAAGATCCCATCTGGCTTCAACCAGTGCAAGTTGCGATCAGTACTACGGAGGTACCCATGATACTCTACAGCACCTCAACAAGCCCCTTGTGACGGGAAAGGTCATGCAACTGAGCTGAGATGAAACGATGGTCTGGTTGTTGTCACTAAAGGAAGGATATTGAGGAATCATTGTTTTTTGCAGCGATGTTGAAGACACTTTTTGAACATGATGGGTGATTGGTGAATCCCAATGATCTGTCGCTGTCATTGCTCCAGATCGATTCCTGGGTGATGACTTTGGCTATGATGGTCAGTAATATGGTTGAAGATTGAAGACTGATCCTCGTTTATAGATAATCTTATATACTAGATTTTCCGCAATTTTCAGCGATTTTCCAATAGTGAATCTGAGCTTCATCAACATCTCATCCGGCCCTTGCAATTGGTTGAAGCTGATTGGCCACAAGACCTGTGCGCCCTGCTTGCACAAGACCTTGTACCACAACCCGGAAACTGAATTTCAAACAGAATCCGAGGAAACGCTGGAGCAAACTGGTCTGATTTCAACCCAGACGCTTGCGCACACTGGTCAAACGCCTACTTTAATTGTTGTACCCTCCGATGATCAAACGTGGCAATGGGAAATCCCCTCTAAATGTAGGTCTAAATGGGGCAAGAATCTATAAACATATATATATATATATAATCTATATATATATAAATGGTGGGTTTTTCATTGCCATGTTTAATTTCCAGGGGGACATGTATTGGATCATGGGGCATGAGTGATCATGAGTGTCATCATCCTCAATATCCTCACCCAGGACCCTGAGTGTTGCGGCCTGAATGACAGGTTACTGAGAAAAAAGGGGGGACCAAACGTGCTGAGATGTCCCACCGCAACGTTTCTTGCAATAGAATGTACTTGACATCATGGCAAATGATGGTAAATATAGGAAATGATGGTAAATGTGCTGCAGTATCAGCACGTGCATATCATTTATATATTGCCATTGGAATATCCATTTATTGCTGGCTGAGCCCCCATCTACAGCTTATCCAGATAGGGTCCCTAACCAATAGTAAAATTAAGGAGCACTTGTTGTTGAGTTTACATGAGGTTGCCACATCATGGGAGTTCCATATCAATGCACACACTATATATATATAATTATAATATATATATATATATCTATATTTTGATCACATATAATATTGTATATATATATGCATATATAATATGTACGTGTCCAGCCCACAGCCCAGTACTATGTCCCGTGCAGGGCAGGACAAAAGAGAGCTCCGCCAGAGGAAAAACACGCGCATCAGGCGTGCAGGAGCTGCGGAAGAATTCTCGATTTTTCAACGACCCGACGACTCACTCTTGTAAGGACCATGGCTAGTGGTTTCAAATGGTTTCAAGGCAAAATCTTGGTCAATGGCGAAGCCACAGGCCATCCGTCTTGGTTCCTGGCCGTCTTGCAGGATTTAAATCGAAGTGTTGAACTGAAGGGTAAAGGATTGTTTTTTTTCTGGCTGGTATCATGCTGTGTGCCAGATTGTTTGTCACATGCGGGATGAACACATTAAGACATGGCGCTATGCAATTCTTGAGAGGGAAAAAGGCGATAAAACATTATAAAACATTATAAACACCATGAAATATCCTGAAATTTGGACCACAATTTCGAGACCACGTGTCTTCGCAGCCAATTTTTTTTGCACATTTTGGCGCCTAAGTCACAGGGGAATCGAGCTTCTGGGACTTTTGTCGCGGCCTGGTGCCGAAGATTGGACCCAAATCATGGCTCTTCGATTCACCCAACAACTAGCTATACACATTACGTAGATGGTATCTGCTAAGAATCAGTTGATGATAGATCCTGTGTATAAATATGTACCTATATTCATTCAAATCGACAATCTTTCAAAACAAGACAGTCCCGGAAAGCGGTTCAAATCTTCGAGGGCTTGACCTCCGGCCAAGGAGGGTGTGATTTCACCTCAGATCCAAGCTGAACATCTTCCCGGTTTCTCCCTGCCATTGTCCAAACATGATCCAAGCTATGAAATCTTGCGGGTCCCAGTGGGAAAAATCTTGGGTGCGTCGCAACCGGTTTCAAACAAATGGCCCCAAAAGAAGCGCAAGAACCACGAACCACATATGTTTTTCCGAATAATATTCTGACCTGAAAAATGAACATCATTCTCTAACCTGAAAAGTTCGGTCACGTTCGGCCATTTGGCGATGACTCCGAAAGCCCCTACAGTGGGATGGGGTGAGATGAGTTGCTACCCTGACGAACTTACTAGATTTACATAGATTTACTAGTTCACTTCAATTTGCATGCATGCTTGATGCCACGTCCGAGAAAGGGTGGGGTAGGTTGGGGTATAGGGTGGGGTGAGGTGAGGCAATGAGGTTTATGTCAACTTGCACACATACTGGATGCAAGGCTACAGAAGTTTCACTTCAACTTGCACACATATTTAATGCGACGTCACAGAGGGGCTCGTGTGGTGTTGTGTGGGGTCGGTCAATAACGTTCACTTGAAGTTGAACACATACTTGAGATGTTTTACTCTACTCTAAATGAAGTTTCAGCAGGCCTTGCAAACGTGCTCAATAATGCACATCCTAAGTACTTGTATCCCAAATATTCTCCTCAACACTCCTCCTTTTTTATGCCTTAGATCATGCCAAATCCTGCTTCTTATGACTTAATTTTCAACGTGTCCTTTTTTGGGGGTCCGCTCCGCATATATATAATAATAATAACAATAATAATAATAATCATAAAAATAATAATAATAAATAATCAATAATAATAATATTAAACATAATCAATAATTAATAATAATAATCATAAAAATAATAAACATAATAGTAATAAATAATCAATAATAATAATATTAATAATAATCAATAATTAATAATAATTAAAAAATATGTGTAATATTGTATAATATTGTATACATTTTTTTGGGGGGCACCCCCAAGCGTTTGCTTCAAACCAGTTCTGCCCGGGTGGCCGGTACTCGTCGGCTGTGGCGTCCGGGGCGAGCCGCGGCCCAGCGACGCCAGGTTCACCACGCGCTCGCCGCCCGTGCTGCGCTCGCGGTTGGAGCGGTTGGAACTGCGACGGCTCACACCTTGGAGACTAGGTGGGTCCCTAGAGTGCCAAGTCCTTGGAAGTTATTAATGGTGTATAGTAAACAATAGTAAACTATAGTAAGCTATAGTCCTATATAAGTCCGAAAAGAACCATAGTGCAACTTCAGTAACTAGGCTGCCTATGGTTTATAGTAGATATATCGTATTCTATAATCATTTGTAGTCAAATGGATACAGAAACTTTGAACTGTTGGGGCACCGCGGTGTTCTGTAAAACATGAAACCCAGTCGGGCAGTTGGGTCATGGCCAGTGGTAAACAAAGTTGGCGCTTGTGCGTAGTCACTGGATTGTAAGCCTAACCTACATATATATAGTACTGTATTTAGGACATATCTTTCGATTTCAAATAAACTACGATGGCATGCAAACTGGTTGCTGGAGCTCCCTGTAAATTTGCCCTGAAGTCTATTCTGAGACAGGGATAGGGGATGAATATGGATAAATGTCAAACAACTCAAAAAAAATAATGGGAGTTTGCTTCGCGGATTCTGGCCTAAACCATGTTTGATCTCTACTTATTCAACCTTTGAATATGCAATTGTTTGATTGGATCGAGGGACATGTTAAAGGAACACCATGGTTTCCCCTTCCAAACGTGCCCTGCCTGTAATCTAACATGGCTAGACAACATCATCTGAATACTAGCTTTGGCTGTAGTCGCCACCTTCAGGCAGGTATCATTCCAGCACACGGATTGATAATGCTGAACATCATTTTTGGTGATTTAACTTTACACAAATAACCCAACACAGTCTAGGTACGCATGCATTTGACTATAAATCAAGAATCTGACTGTGGTGACAGTGGTGGGGATACGAAAACAAAACATGTGTATCAACCCTGCCCTTGAGAAAAACATAACTGTTCTCAGGGTCAAAGGGATAGTTGGGGAAATGATGAGTCAAATTTTCATTCTTATGGATCAAAATTCACATTTTGATGGGCTCATGGTAAGTAAAACCACCATTTGTGATCATTTGTAACGGTCAATTTCCAGAAACTTCCATAAATGTCCATAAATTGTCATAAATGTTCTACACATGTTCAACTTTGATGGCTTAAAACCACCATTTTTCACCAGGCCAAAAGTTCCTTAAAACCAGCGTTTCGGCCGCGCTGCTGGGGGGGCTAAGGCTCCACGGGCTCAAGGGACTCAACGGAGAACCCGGAGGAGTCTGACGATTGCCGCGGCTGAAGAACATCAACACCTTGGGGCTGCAAGCTACATCATGAATCATCAATATAAATACATGTTCTATCAATTCTATATATATATAGTATAAAAGAAAATCTACATCTGATATCATCTATCTATATCTAAATACATCTACATTTATGTGATGTGTATATGCATATACACGTTCATGTTTTTTACATGTAATCAAACAAGAACAACAACAAACATTTACCAGCAGTACCACACAAGGCGCTGGCGGAAGTGTGAGAAATAGGAAAACTAAAGGAGAGGTGAGTTGCCGTGATTCATGGATGGCAGAGCGAACTGATGGACTGAAAGGTGGTTGAGGCTCTGAGTCTAACTCTCTCTCTCCCTCTCTCTCTCTCACAGTATCCATCCATTCATCCATCTATCTCATTTATCTGATCCATCTGATCCATCTAATCTACCTAATCTATCTAATCTATCTAATCTATCTAATCTGTCTATTCTATCTATTCTATCTATCTATCTATCCATCTATCTATCTATCTTTCTTTCTGTCTTTCTATCTATTCTATCTATCTATCTGTCTATCTGTCTATCTATCTATCTATCTATCTATCTATCTATCTATCTAATCTACCTAATCTACCTAATCTATCTATCTATCTATCTATCTATCTAATCTATCTAATCTATCTAATATATCTATCTATCTATCTATCTAATCTATCTAATCTATCTAATATATCTATCTAATCTATCTATCTAATCTATCTAATATATCTATCTAATCTATCTAATCTATCTATCTCATCTATCTAATCTTCCTCATCTATCGCATATATCGCATCTATCTCATCTATCTAATCCATCTAATCTATCTAATCCATCTAATCAATATAATCTATCTAATCTATCTAATCTATCTAATCTATCTAATCTGTCTATTCTATCTATTCTATCTATCTATCTATCCATCTATCTATCTATCTTTCTTTCTGTCTTTCTATCTATTCTATCTATCTATCTGTCTATCTGTCTATCTATCTATCTATCTATCTAATCTACCTAATCTACCTAATCTATCTATCTATCTATCTATTTATTTATCTATCTATCTATCTATCTCATCTATCTATCTATTTATCTATCTATCTATCTATCTATCTGTCTAATCTATCTATTCTATCTATCTATCTATCTGTCTGTCTATCTATCTATCTATCTATCTCATCTGTCGCATCTATCGCATCTATCTCATCTATCTAATCCATCTAATCTATCTAATCTATCTAATCTATCTAATCTATCTAATCTATCTAATCTTTCTAATCTATCTATATAATCTATCAAATCTATCTAATCTATCTAATCTACCTAATCTATCTAATCTATCTAATCTATCTAATCTATCTAATCTATCTAATCCATCTATCTAATCTATCTAATCTGTCTAATCTATCTATTCTATCTATCTATATATCTATCTATCTATCTATCTATCTATCTCTAGATCTATATGTATCTCTATATCTTACTATCGGCGTTGGCCTCTTTATTTGGGCCTTTCTGTTTTCTGGTTTTTGGACCCAGGAACTATTTGCAGATTTCTAGGAACTATTTGCAGAGTTCCAGGAACTATTTGAAAAAAACATGCATTGTATATGTATAAATAGGGTGTTTTCGACAAGCCGGGGTACGCCCTAATACTATTCACTTCACTATACAAAAGTGGTCACTCACATCATGTTGGAGATAGAGATGGTGATGCTGGTACTGCTGCTGCTGCTGATGGTGGTGGTGGTGATGATGATGATGCTGATGATGATGATTCCCGAGGAAACATCTGGAAGTTGCTATCCATGTTGGAACCGCAACCGGGCAGCATGGGATTTGCCCGAGACGTTCCTGGCCAACTGGAAGAAACCTTAGCCGATTTCGTCGCTGCACTGCTGAAACCTGGGCAACATATTTAGCCGGTGGTTGTGAAAAAAACTATGCATCGGAACATATAGACAAGACAACGAGTAATTGTAGCCATCCTGTTATCTTAAACCACATTTGTTGCTCATCTAGATCTGAAGCTCCTTGTGCAGCAACAAGGATCATCACTTTGCGTTACGAAACGGCGGTGCCTAGGTCCATCTGCAACTTCAACAAAAACAACACCAACGACACCAACGACACCACCACCAGCACCACTATGAAAAACTAAATAGCTACACATTAGCTACACATAGCAACACCAATGTGATAAACAACAGTCTTATGTCTTCAGCACACCTTGATCTGAGAAACCTGAGATATCTTCAGGATTGCGATCTGCAGACCATTGAGCAGGCAGACTTTCCTGGGCGGACCATTGGTGGAGCAGTGGTCAAAACCCAGCATTCTACTGCAGTGACCAATCCTCAAAGTGGTTGGTGCTTGAACATCTTGAACTAATATAACTAATATAGCCATGACGAAACCATGAAACTGGGATCATCATCCCCAATGTGGGGTACAGAAATTCAGAAACCATCCCTGTGACAAGTTCATATTAGTTCATGGCCAGTTCTATGAAACCCCAATGGGTCCGAGTACTGAGCGCCCTCGGTGCACTTGAGCGACTGTCAGTTCTTTGGGCACCGGGATCTTCCTCAACTCGGGACTACATTTTCAAGATCTCGAAGTCATCAACACAAACAGTATATAGAAGAAAAAAAATTATATATATATATGTATATAGACTCAAAGATACTCAAAGTATCTCAGAGTACTGAACTGGAAATTACCGGATTTCCAATGATTTCCATGAAATTCCAGCTCTCCATTTCTCGCTGATTCATGGGGAGCTTCCCTCCTCCGCCTGGAACCGAGCATCAAAGCTAAAGGTCTTTCCTGGTGGGAGCCCTATGAAATCAAGATCTGGAACATTCTGGACCAACATATAATGATATTCTGATATCCATGTCTCTTCGCATCTACTAACCCAGCTGGGGATTTTTTAACCATTCAGGATGTTCATCTGTAAGACTTGCCAGTCTCTAGTCATCAAACATGGATGGTCGGAGAATTGAAGATTATATATATATATATGGTATGAAAATGTTCTAGCCTGTCAGATCAACCTTTACCAAGGATATTTTTCGCCACAAGTATGTTCATGCTACCCTCTGGTAATTTATTCTGGGAATACAGTGAATTGCCCAAGTTTGTCCACTTATCCCATTCAACAATAACATCGTGGTCGATCTTTGACCTTGGTAGTCCACAAAAGAAATGTTTGTGGATGGTTATGGTAGTTTTCCATGTACATATATATATAGCAAAAACTATGGTAGATTAAACTACCTATCCAAGGTATTCCCACGTTGGGGATGAACATGAGGGTTTTCCAATTATGCCTTGGTTGCCCGAAGCTTCCCGTGCTTCCCATTGCCCATGTCGCCTGGCAGCGGCTCGTTCCTGTCCAAGAATAAGCGCCCCTCGTCACAGATCCGCTTCATCAACATACCTCGAGTGTCTCGCAGCAAACGAGCCCCCGATCTATGGCCAATCTTATATGCCAAAAAACAACAAACATGTGGTTCTAGGTGGGTACAATCCAATCTTTCAACGTTGCAACAAAAATAGGCCATACTGTATAAACCCACCCAACTGATACGTATATAGTGAGTCAATAAATCCTGTCCAGTCATCCGCATCATTTCGTCCTAAGAACTTGGCCCAAGATCAATCGACCCGGAAACGGCTCGGAACCAGCTCCTCGCCCAAACTTTGGTCTCCAAATGTCTCCAAATGTCTCCAAGCTGCAAATGGATTGAGGGAAGATCTTTTCGATGGATGCACCCACCACGTGGGTCCTGGGCGGATGATGGCGGATTCCACCATTCACCCAGCGGATCCCAGCGGTCCAAGGCAGGTCGCGTTCGGCCCCGCCCAAGCGGATTCCACCGAGCATCAACGGTGCAGTGGCTGAGGCTACCCTCAATTCGCCCACATCCAAGTCCAAACAAACCCTGGCAGAGATTTGAATTCTGATGTCTTCAACACACCTATAAAGTTAAGACTCGTACATGTCTATATGTGAATGTTATGTATGTATATATATATAAATATGTATTCATCAATTATTATCAATTATTCCCCTATAGATTTACTTTGACATATTGGAATAAACATACTGTATGTGTATCATACTGTAGATTTGATCGTATTTGATCACATATTTAGAATTATTTAGACCTTGAAAGAAACACATGTTCGATCCGGAAAAAGCAAGAATCACCTCAAGCAACCACGTCCTCTTGTCCTGCACCTTCGCTCTGGCTGGATGATTTTACTTAAGCAGGGTTGCTCCCAAATAGAAAGGTCAGGGGATCGAAAGAAATATTTGAAAGCACCAATCAGAACACTGATTAAATAATATGAAATCCCGGAGTCACACACTGTCAAAATAACATCGTATGAAAATGTATGAAACAGGAGAGAAGCAGCCAACTTCACCGGTTCAGCACCTCGCTTGGCTAGACCTGAGGGACATATCAAGCTCACCACTCCTGGACGAATCGGCTAAAAGAATCGCTATGAGGTCGGCTTTCTCATGAATGCTGAATGGCACTGAATGGTCAGTTATTTTTCGATGCTTCCCCCAAGCTGACCAACTTCAACAAGGGATAATTGTATACGGATTATATATATATAATTATATATATATACACGGTGAGGTAGTTTGAGGCCGCTCGTTTTCTTGCTTCCAGCCACATGGCTATGCCCCATTTGATCCCGTCGGCATGCACCCTGCCACGAGGATCAACGAGGCCTTGCCATCTGGTGAATGGTCAAAAGTGGGCACTCACACACAGATTTGATCATTTTTAGTGGCAAAATGTGTGGGACGGATGTGAAAATCAATACAAATCGACCCATATGTCCGAGCCGGCCCCCTAGTTAATTATGGCCCAGCACCATCAGTCTGGTTTCAAGTCCTGCTTTCACTTGCTTGCTCCTGGGCCAAGCGCTCGTTCTTTGCAAAGGGTCATAAGACCACAAACTGGATAGCTAATTCTTTGGTCAATCTCACGAGTCAATTTTGATCCACACTTATACAACAACTCGATACAACTCGTACCTTGTATCCTCCCTCAGTACTTGTGACCTTTTGGGTTCAAAGTTTCTTGAAATTTGACTTCACAAGTCCTCCCGATTTCATGGGTATCCCCACTGTTTCGCCATCAAACGCGCAGAATCTCTATATTCATGGGATTTTATGGGTGTGACATGCGCCCATGACATGACCAGTATTGTTTTGAAAACAATAAACAACACACCCGCACACCCCTTGAACTGCTACTTGGCAACATATCTCTCTTCTTCAGTCCCTAACCAGTGGTTTCTTTAAATTGGGGTACTCCAAGTACTCCAAGTACTCCAAAACCATTCCTTTCTCCCTGCAAAACATGACGATCTATACCAGTTTCTGATATGTTTTTGCGATTTCGGCTTAGGACACCTCAAAATGTTGAACTCCCCATTGCTGATCGGGATAAAGGATAAGAATTACCTCGAAAAGTTCGGTCATTTAGGGACTTGGGATAGTTGCCGCCCCTTAGATACTCTCCGGTAATCAAACATGGCAATTGGTAATCCACATTTTATACTGTAGATTATGATGGATTTCCCATTTAAACCTCCATTTAGAGTTTTTTTTTTCCATTTTTTCTAGCCATGTTTGACCGGTAAAGCAACACAATTCCAGTGCTCCGCGCCTGAAAGGGGATGGTCACATCGCTCATCTCCTCATCGCTGACGAAGGGTTTGGAGTCCGTGATGTCTCCTCGGAGTCCAGGTCGGATTTTTACACTTCACGTGTCCCCCGAATCCTCGGAAGAATATATACCCTCTGGTAATGACTAACATAGCGAACTGGAAAGATCCACCATTTTTGATAGGAAAATCCACTATTTCTATGGCCATTTTCAATAGCTATGTTAGTTTACCAGAGGGTACATTATAAACTATAAACATCTATAAACATATCTATCTTCAACAAAGCGTGTTTGGAATCCTCAAACGGTCAGGCAAATTACTGCCACCATTGAAGAGAGATGAGATCTCCAAGATGCAGTGATTCTCTTATCTCTAAAAATCAACGAGCTCTCGCTCCGAAAAGGGAACAAAAACAGACCATTCTGGGGGTGTTCTGAAATTTATCCGCAGAGTATGTCGGCGAACTGAAATATCATGTATATGCATATGCACAGATAACATATATAAATTAACGTGGTAAATAAACCCAATGATAGACTACACCCAACTCTACCCAAAATGGTCTGTGCAACCGTTACAACCCGTGAGGTTATGGGTTAAACATGGTTGAACTGTATTGTAACCTTCCTAAGTTTCGATGTCGTTTGAAATCAGCCATGCCAGCTGCTTACCACATTCACCGAGTATCTGATGCCAACCAAATGACAGATTTCACCCCCTGCCGAGACACAGCTAACATGACATTGGGGTCAACCGGACATACCCTGGGTCTAGCAAGATTGTGGAGTGCTGGCAAGGCCAGTGCGTGGTACAGTAAGTTTCTAAGTAATTTGGTTTGTATCCAAAGTATGCCAAAGCATGCACACAAAATGAGGGCATAAATAAACAAGCCAGTGGATTCGGAGCATCTGAAAGCTCAGAAAGTATCAGTTCTGAAAACTGACAAAAACATACAAAATCCAATAAAAATCCATGTTCTCCGGACTATATAGTCATCAGCGAAACATGTGCTGCAAACGACCTTTGTGCTCAATAAACATCAAACTGGCTCTCCGGCCTCATCCCAAAGAAACTCTGAAAGAAAGATGGAATGATCTTGCCAAAGATCCTCCTTCATCGAATCTTATAAACTTCATTAAAATCCTATAAACATGGCCAGTCTCAGATAGCATGCAAAAAAAAACACCAAAAATGATTATATATATATATATTTATATTCCAATTTATGGCAAGAAAATCGAGTACGAAACTACGAACGGCCCATCTAAATGATCTTTCCGTGTCTTTCCCCCAATAAAAATGATAACTAACGTGTTTCATGTTTGCGACCCTTAACAATGTTGGGAAGCAAACGCTATAGCCCTCAATAATGCCACCGAGCCTGGATTTTGGTACCTGGCAAGGTCAATGCAATTCTGTCCAACTGAACGCATCCTGGCCACCAGAATGTCACCTTTAAAACAAACAACAGAATAATCATATTACAAAAATATAGATATATAGAAACATATATCGAATATATCAAATATATAGTAGATCATATAACAATAATCAAAAAAAAAATCAAATATAGAATTATAGAAAACAAAAGAACACTTAAAAGAATGGCGGAGATCCATCAGCCCTTTTTTTAAGGCCATTGCTGCACCCTTGGGGCACATCACTTGGAAAATCTCCACCTTCAACTTGGTGGCTCCACTATCCACCATTCGCGAGATGAAAGCATGAGCCTGAAGCGATGGCGAAGTCTCATGTAGCCACCGTAAACAATACGTAAACATCGAAGCAACCACCAGCTATACATGGAGGTTTCCCAAAATGGAGGTACCCCAATAGCTGGATGGTTTATTATTATTATTCATAATGAAAAATCCGAAAAAACTATGGATGATAACTGGGGGCAGCCCTATGACTTAGGAAACCTCCACATAGCTATATAATACTGACAATACTCAAGGTTCAAGATTCATAGTAGGACTGTCTTGACCCTTGGCCCTTCTTTAGCCAACAGTTTTTGCAAGTGCATCTTTAAAGTAGCCCAGAGAGGAGATCTAAGACTGACAACATCTTGAACCCCACGTAGATTTTAAGCACTTTCAAGTTACATTCAAGTAACTTTCAAGTCATTCTTCGGAGTCAACTATGTATCCCCTTCAGCCAGCAATCCCATCGGCATCCCCGATGGCATCCCCAATGCCCGGCAGCCGGGCGCCTGTTTGTTGTCGCTTACCTTAAAACTCATTGAACTGTTGCTGGTACTGCGAAAATCCTGCGTGGCGTATTCTGAGTGCAATAATGCACAGTGATGGAATGGCTACCGACAAAGCATACCTCAATTTAAGCCATTTTTGGGATTGATTGAGACATATCACATGTATACCATTTAACATAGCCATGGGAAATCACTATTTTTAATAGGTAAACCTCTATAAATGGGCCATTTCCCATGGCTATGTTAAATAACCAGAGGGTACTTATAATTAATTATAATTAGTCATCTGAAGCCTCAACTCAGGTCCGATTCAGTTTTCTCGGCGCAAGACTACTGATTTTCTGCGTTCCGGCAGTTGAATCACCCATTTGCAATGCCATTCATTCTAGGGTGGAACCACCAAATAATCCACACTGATGCTGATGACTCACAAAATTCCACGATTCATCAGGATTCCAAAACCATCAAAACCAGCAAATGGCTAAATGTATGACACATTCAAATCATTCAAAGAACAACACACATGGGTGTTTCTTAAAATAGGGGATCCCCAAGTCACCATGGGTTTCAGTACCAAGGGGTCTAATTTGGATGATTTGGGGGGCACCCCAACCACTGACATCTCAGGAAACCTCCACATCTAAAAGGGTCAGCGTCAGTGGTCGTGTACTGGGCACCGTTGAAAAGCGGCCGGCCTGGAGATATGTCATTGCCTTGGATGCATCCACAGCCGGCATGAAGTCCTTGGCGATGGGGACGAGATGCTGGTTTTTCCAATCTTTTCCATATCTATCTTAGTTTACCTTAGGCTATTTTCATGTACTTTCTATTCATTGGGTTGATTATGATTGATTGTTGTTGATTTCACGAAAATAACCGGCAAGCATGGTGCCCCCTCACCTGTATTCAAAATGGCATATGTTGTGATGTTCACCACAGTTTTCACTCACCCATCATCCCAGATGCATGGATTATCATGGATTTTGGGATCTGCCTAAAAAGACAGGTGCCCCAAATCCACTAGTTTCCCAGCTTGTTTTCTAAATGAGCATTATTGCGTGGCACCAGTCCCCAGTTTCCCCATCTCCAAAACCAAACCCAGGTGTCGGTCAACTTCATCTCTGCGAGGGAAGCACCTGGCATCTGCTCTGCTGATGTAGGTTGTATAATTCCAAAGAATCAGCTCGTTCACTCCAGAGTTCTGTTGTTCGAAAAATATGTATAACGTTTATTTTTGCGGGAAACAAATCGCCGAGAAAAAAACACCAATACAATCCTGATGTCAAAAATATGGGTGTGTCTGAACATGAGGTAGGAATTCAAAAAATAGTATTTCTTAGGAAACATGATGATTCACCATGGGATGTTGGGGTTCTCTCAGTTTTATCCTACATTCTCAGACGAGCCACAATCAATTCCATATTTGCCGAGATGGATTTTGGGTCATTTCGGGGAATGCCGTGGATTTCCCCTAATCCAGATCCCCTCTCCATTGGCAACCAAATATGTGGAATATATCCCATTATAAAATTATATACGGGATTATATGGGTTATATATAGGTAATATATAGGTTATATATAGGTAATATATAGGTTATATATAGGTAATATATAGGTTATATGGTTTTTTTCTGTGGGTCAAAGAATGCCATCTTTTTAGACCCCGCAAGCCATCGGCCTTGAAAGTCCCGCAACAACATTGCCTCAAGGGCACATCGCACCCCGGCGACCCAAGAATGGTTGATATGTTTCGAAAAATTAGCAGTTGGAAGATGGTTGATTCACATCTCATATTCCCCAAACATCATTATCTGGTTGCTGGTTTTAATATATGTTTTAACCATCTTGAAAAATATGAGTCAGTTGGGAGCATTATTCCCATATATTATGGAAAAATAACAAATGTTCCAAACCACCAACCAGTTATTAGATAGTTATACAGATTCAAAAAAAATGTTTAGACTAAAAACTGTTTAGATGTTTATGATGCTTAGATTTGTTTTTACTGACTGGTTCTCTTGAGTACTTCGATTCTTGCGATCGTTATCCATGGCTTTGTACTCACCTGTTGTCTCATCATCCCCAAATCGAAGAGATTCTGCATTGAGGCAGTTCAACTTCAAATCAACATTCTCACTCCCATGATCATTATTGATGTTGGTAAAACAATTTCATAAACCATCCCCAACTTCACCATTTTTATGTGTGATATAAAACGGTATAAACCATTCCCAAATGGGCGGTTTATGACATTGTTTTAACCACATAACAAAAATCCTGTATTCAAACCAGTGCCCAGTGACCGCCAATTCCGAGGAGTGCTTCCTCAAACGAAGGCGACTGTCAAGCTCTACAACAGCGTCGCCTGATGAGCTCCACAGCATGCTGGGTTTATGAGAGTTGCAGCAACCAGCAAATAAACATGTGAAAAATTGATGAAAATTGGTTCAAATAAAAATTGAGTGGTAAATCTAGGCCTTCCTTTTTGGTGATTACTGTACTGTTTTAGCCGCAAAGGGAAGGATTCTTGGTGGTTACTGTAATAAAAAATTGCCTCGGGCGAAGGCCTTCTTGCGGGGTGAGGTGGCCATCGTGGTTTGGAACCATGGTGACAATAAACTGTAAGACAGCTACTCCAGCTGGGGCCAGTTTCTCTGTGTATTCTATAGTTGCAGTATGTATATCTATACTACCCTCTGGTAATTTAACATAGCTATTGAAAAAGGCCATTTATAGTGAGTTTTCCCATTAAACATGGTGATTTTCAATAGTTATGTTAGTTTACCAGAGGGTACTCTATACAGAATCTACGGATGATTGATCACCCTTGGTGTCTCATGCGACAGCTGGGTGGGTGTTTTTCCTGCCAAGGCACAACACAAGTGCAACAACGAGGTGGCAGCATTCAACTGCTGCGAGAGTTTTGAAGAGGCTCCAACTTCCTGGGATCAAATTGGGGCTGTAAGGGCTGTAAACTTAAGATGTCATATATACATATTCGATCTTTGACAAGGTGACAATGCACTGACAATGCACTACATGTACTCTATATATATATATATATACATAGACTTTCCCGCAACCGAACGCTCGCTCATTCTCGGAGGTTTAGGGCACCCAAATTTTCAGAGCAAACATGTGGAAGTGCCAAACTGTCAACGATTGGACCCGTTCGAGAATCTTCAGAAAGGGAATCTTGGGTACGTAATATCTATATATATATATATTATATATGATATAATATGAACAATTACATCGTGTGAAGAACATTGAATACGTTCTGATACGTATGAGGATATACTTGATGCTCGGATTTTAGTCTTATTAGAAAATAATGGTTCAATCCAGGCATACCAACAACTTAAAAATGCAGAATCCAAGTTTCTAGGCTCTTCTCTGCACTCTTCCTGGTGCTGATGGGGCGTTTCTTGGCAAGGACTGAGGAGTCAAACTGAAGTACTCACCAACCCGAGGTTCCCAAGCTTTAAACGAACAGTTTAAACACACATAAACTATCCGGGACCTTGGAAGCTTCTCATGACTAGATAATTTACAATGAATCCCAAACCAAATATAAGGTTTTGGGGACTGACCATCATTTATTGATATTCATTGTGAGGTGGTTATCGGGTCGCCATAAACTATCCAGAACATAGTTATTTCTTCACTATGTAGAAGAAACGTCCTTCGTTTCTGTCTGGGGCACATCCTCTACGGACATTGGGAGGTGGTTGTTATGAGTTATCTTTCCGCAGCAAAAGACTATGAAATAACCATAACTTCCGTCACAAGTTCTCTCTTTGGCGTCTACCCCGGATGACACGTCCTTGTTTTAGTGCTCTGGGTATGGCGAACCCTATTGTTGGACAATCATACCACCAATTTGTGAATGAGTTGATCAAGTAAATCCTCTTTTTCCTGGTTGACCCAATCACAAATTCTGAGCTGCTCAATCCACCATGTTGCTTGGTTAAGTGCTACCCTTGAGCTCAATCCACCGTGTTTGGCTGGCGTGTTTTCGACCCTAAAACAATGCATTCTGCAGACAAAATGTAAGTGTGTGCTAAACTGATGAAACCAGTTCATTTCATCTCAATATCATGTCTATCAACTCCCAATTGTGGGCCTTGGTCTTTCCCCTATAACACATATTCCCAAATATTCCCAACATTTCCTAATATTGCTTTTTTATGATCCCCATTTAAAACCACCAAAAAATAAGGATATCCTCTCGCATAGCCATGCATAGCCAGCTATAAAAAATTGCCCATCCAGTTCGATGATTTTCCCATTCGAATGCCTATTTTGTTTTTGGATTTTCCGGCCATGTTAGATCACCGAAGCTTGGTCCATGTCCAACCCCAAAGCGACCGGATTTTCATGTTCTTCCGTTCTTCCCAAAAAAAATCTCAACATAAATAATCATAAATCCCTGTTCCATGAATCATGGGTGAAAAACCTCCATCCTAGAGACTTCGGATGTTAAAATCCATGATGTTCCAATGATGTTCCAATGGGTGAAGGACTGGCGACCATCCACGACCATCGATCCCAAGGATCCTCAGAAACGCCTTCACCAGGACTGCAAAGGCGAGTACTGCGAGGCTGGCGAGGAGCTCCAAGACCAAAACACCTCAGCTGGGAAAATTGGGCATGGTGGCATGGTGTGTTGTCCAGGTCACATAGAGATCCGGAAAACCAATGGTTTTCCTCGGAGAAGGATGCAGATGCGTTTTGAAAAAGTTCAAGTAAATGCATTTACCTACGGGCAAAGTCCCCGAAGAGCGTATCTGCTAGTTGCAGCACATATGTTAACTAAGAATCCAAATGCATGTATGACTTACAAAAAAACATCGACATGCGTCTCACTCCATTTATGACTAACAAAAAACATTGACATGTGTCTCACTCCATTTATGACTAACAAAAAACACTGACATGTGTCTCACTCCACAAACCCAAGGTTTTTTCCCTTGCAAGTTGCGTGCCACATAAGTGCCGCTAAGGCAACAAACCCAGTGCACAAGCAGCTAAGGCATATAAATATGCCATTATAGACTATTATGTGTCTATAATTATATATATAATATTATATGTCTGTATATGTAATATTTATATATATATGTACAATATTATATATATAAATAATTATAAATATAAGTATCTGCACCTATAGTCATGTACATCTAATTCTGTACCAGTTTTGTTTCATGGAGGGCCTTGAACGAAACCTCCCAGACCTTCATTGGCTGCCCAGGTGCGGCCTAAGATTGGATTCCGCAAAGGGCTCTCCCTGTCAACCGTGCTCCAGTCGTCCAGGAAAATCCTGATACATGTCCTGAATGTCTCAACAGACACTTGGAGTGTCTATCAGTCTATCCCCACATGGCTTCAGAATCAGAACCCCCTTATGGCTTCAGTTCATTCAGAAGGCGAAGCATGACGATGGATTCATGTTTTTTTTAAATATGTTTATCATATCCCGTGCAAACATATCATGAACATAAACTACCCAAACTACTATGAGAACAAAACACGTTTCAAAATGTCATGAAAACATAACATGACGATCTTTCAGGGCTCTTGCCTAGACCAATCGCGAAACATTGCGGCACGGACCCCGGATCCAGTCCAAGAGACATGACGAAGAAACAGAGGTTGCACAAGACCACGGAGAAAATGTTCCTTGGGATGATCACCTCAGAGGAAAATAAAAAGGGATTTTCATGGATTTTCCCATGGATTTTCCCATGGTTTTTCCCATGGTTTTTCCCATGGTTTTTCCCGTGTTTTTTCCCATGGTTTTTCCCGTGGTTTTTCCCATGGTTTTTCCCATGGTTTTTACCATGGGTTTTCCCATGGTTTTTACCATGGTTTTTCCCATGGTTTTTCCCATGGGTTTTTCCCATGGGTTTTTACCATGGTTTTTCCCATGTTTTTTCCCATGGTTTTTCCCGTGGTTTTTCCCATGTTTTTTCCAATGGTTTTTACCATGGTTTTTCCCATGGTTTTTACCATGGTTTTTCCCATGGATTTTCCCATGGTTTTTCCCCATGGTTTTTCCCATGGTTTTTCCCGTGGTTTTTCCCGTGGTTTTTCCCATGGTTTTTCCCGTGGTTTTTCCCGTGGTTTTTCCCATGGTTTTTCCCGTGGTTTTTCCCATGGTTTTTACCATGGTTTTTCCCATGGTTTTTCCCATGGTTTTACCATTGTTTTTCCCATGGTTTTTCCCATGGTTTTTCCCATGGTTTTTCCCATGGTTTTTCCCATGGTTTTTCCCGTTGTTTTTCCCATGGGTTTTCGCATGGTTTTTCCCATGGTTTTTCCCATGGTTTTTACCATGGTTTTTCCCATGGTTTTTACCATGGTTTTTACCATGGTTTTTCCCATGGTTTTTACCATGGTTTTTCCCATGGTTTTTCCCATAGTTTTTCCCATGGTTTTACCATGGTTTTTCCCATGGTTTTTATGGTTTTTCCATGGTTTTTACCATGGTTTTACCATGGTTTTTTGGTTTTTCCCATGGTTTTTACCATGGTTTTTCCCATGGTTTTTACCATGGTTTTTCCCATGGTTTTTCCCATGGTTTTTCCCATGATTTTTCCCATGGTTTTTCCCGTGGTTTTTCCCATGGTTTTTCCCATGGTTTTTCCCATGATTTTTCCCATGGTTTTTACCATGGTTTTTCCCATGGTTTTTCCCATGGTTTTACCATTGTTTTTCCCATGGTTTTTCCCATGGTTTTTCCCATGGTTTTTCCCATGGTTTTTCCCATGGTTTTTCCCGTTGTTTTTCCCATGGGTTTTCGCATGGTTTTTCCCATGGTTTTTCCCATGGTTTTTCCCATGGTTTTTCCCATGGTTTTTACCATGGTTTTTACCATGGTTTTTACCATGGTTTTTCCCATGGTTTTTCCCATGGTTTTTCCCATGGTTTTTCCCGTGGTTTTTCCCATGGTTTTTCCCATGGTTTTACCATGGTTTTTCCCATGGTTTTTACCATGGTTTTTACCATGGTTTTTACCATGGTTTTTCCCATGGTTTTTCCCATGGTTTTTCCCATGATTTTTCCCATGGTTTTTCCCGTGGTTTTTCCCATGGTTTTTCCCATGGTTTTTACCATGGTTTTTACCATGGTTTTTCCCATGGTTTTTCCCATGGTTTTTACCATGGTTTTTACCATCAAAAAAAAGGTTTCCTCTACATGTTCCCAGATGTTCCCATGATCCCATTCTGTGACCGCACTAGACCCGCACGGGCTGACCCGAGTCCTCCGACTTTTGAAGTTCCACCGTCATAAACTAACACAGCAATCCAACAGCAATCCGGAAGACATCAATAGAAGTGTGATAAATATCTATAATTCCGTATAATTCTACATATATATACAATATAATTATATTATATATTATATATACATTGCATACAAAATAGCCGTCGAGAAGAAACCATGATCTGTTGAAAAAAAACCAAATGGCCGTGTAGGAGAACAGCTATGGCAGCTATGGCCTATGGCCGGCTATGGGATTTTGGAGTAGCCCATGTTCCAATTTCAATGTCTATCCCTGAGAAAAGAGGTGACATGTTCTCCCCATCTTTGGGACCCCATGATCTTTACATGGCCTGCATTTGTAAACATGTATGTTTTTTCAGAAACAACCATATTCACTTATCAAATTGCTGAGAACATGAACCCATGACCCAACAACATGTAACAATATCAAGCTTCGCCTTCTGAACATGGGCCCCAGCTGGTCCTGAAACCAGATCTCCGGTAGATACATAGATTGGATATATATATATATACATTATATTACATATATATAATATCTTTATATATATATTATATTATATTATATTATATTATATATATTATATTATATGTATTATATTATATATATTTTATATTATATATATATTATATACATATTTTGTACATACTATATACATACTGTATACATATTATACACATATTACATACATATTATATACATATTATATACATATTGTATGCATATTATATACATATAATATACATATTATATCCATAATATACATAATATACAGTATATACATATATATATATATACATATATATATATATATTGTGTACACAAATCCCACTGCCAATGGGGGGTGGAACCTGAGTATTCCAATAGATATAGTATAGTCTGAAAGCAGGGGTCATAGGTTCGAGATGGTGGGGGTGCCTGCAGAAACAGAGCCCCTTTCCTCACTACAAAATCACACAGCCCACAGCCCTCACAAGTATATGCCAATGCATTCAGAATTCTATAACTATATGAGTAACATATTATCCAATCAGGAGCACCCATGATCAGGCCGCAGGCCCATGATCCATCTATGATTCGCATGGGATTTCCCCATGATACTGTAGGTCTCTATGGGGCTTATTGGAATGGGGGAGGAACATCACTTGGCTAACCTCGCCCAGTGGCAGAAGGGATGCGCAGCACAAGCACCAGAGTCCATGAGATATCAACCTTGGAGTGTGCGATGAGAGAAACACATGGGCCTGTTTAGTTTCAACGTGTTTCAAACAAATTTGCCCATTTCTGATACTATTGGCGATCCAATTGAACACGCACACACACACACACCCAAACCCACACCCACACCCACGCACGCACACACTGTGGGGTAATGGTGAGTAAAAAGTGTGAATGATGTCATAGTCTTCGCCTGATTTCCTGAGTTGCCTGGCAGTAGAATTTCAGCGGACCCAGATTCGCGATCGAAGAAACAACGCACAGCTCATAAACAAGAACAGAAAGTCAACAGTTGAAACTATAGCAGGTACGTAGATCAGGCGTCCCTGATCTATATCCTTACCACATGTCACCCAGCTTCGTTGGCAGAGGAAGTGACATGGGTACCTCTGCCCCCTGCTTTTTAGAATAGTACAAGAGCAAAGAAAAGAACTAAAACCGTTTGTTATAACGGTGTACACACACACACATTAGCCCCGAAATGGGGCAAAACCGCAAGCCGCCTAGTTTTTACCTAAGAAAACTGACCTAAAGAGCCTGCCTAAGAGAATGAATACCTGGCCTAAAAGAACCTGATGACGATGACGAGTGATGTGAGAAGCAAAAAGTTAAACCGTGTTCTATAAGTCGTAAATCCTGACAGTAAAGGAAATGCGTATGCAAATGCTGTACGTTTGAGTTCAAAATGAAAACGATGCACAAGACTGTACGATAAAGCCTTTCAGCCAAGACCTCATTTGTAATTCCATCTCATCGTCAAGAACAAATAATCGCACAGGTACATTGGCAAGTGGAAATTCTGAGTTCCGGAACTGCAGAATGAGCTTGAGTTGTTGCTGAGCTCTTGACCGAAAAGGTTCCGACAAGGTTCGGCTCAATCTGCATAACAAAATTTCCCTGCTGTATCAAAACATGATTGATTCATCAAAACAAAACCATTTGCTATATAGTAACCTAAGGAGCCTGCCTAAGAGAGTGAATACATGGCCTAAACAGAACCTGATGACGATGATGAGTGAGGTGAGAAATAAAACGTTGAACCATGTTCTATACCTAGTAAATCTATCCCCCTGCACATTTACCCCCCTGACCCAAGGCAACCATTTTGTAAGGGACCCAGGAGTTAACCTTACAAACATCCATGGTTAGGGGTTTACAAAATGGGCTGGGCACCAGGCTTGGTGTGATTCCCCAGCAAACACCGGTGAACCCCCAAAAAAATCAAAAATCGGCTCCTTACAAAATGGTTGCCCCAAGTTAATTTCCAGGCCCCAAACCCAATCATCTTATAAGCTTGTGTCTTAAAAAATGGTTTGTTTGGAAACATGTCTTACTTGTACAAGTCCAACTTTCCCCAGGGAACCCCGCATTTTTTCCCAGTCCCCAAAGTTTGGAAAAAATCCCAGAAAGTTTGATATCACCTTTTCTGGTTGGTTGACTTAGTGGTGTCTTGCCGGTTCTTCACACATCAATGGTGGAACCCAAAAAAAATTAGAGAAACCCTGGTTCCTGGACATGGCCAAGATTTCAATACCCTTTTTTGCACTGCCTGAAATGAACCCAAAATTGCGTTATGAAATGATTGGCCCCGAGTTCATTTTGTAAAGAAAGTTGGCTCTTACAAAATGATTCGCCCAGCAAAAAACACGCTTTTTACAAAATGGCATGGTTGACCAGAAAAATGTCCTTACAAAATGCCTCCTTTTGTTAGAAAAATGCCCCTGGAAAGGAACATGGGTCAAGCCATTTCATAGTGGAAACGTACACAGGGATGTAAATCTGACCTAAGGAGCCTGCCTAAGAGAATGAATACATGGCCTAAACAGAACCTGATGACGATGACGAGTGATGTGAGAAACAAAACGTTGAACCATGTTCTATACCTGGTAAAACAAACCTAAGGAGCCTGCCTAAGAGAATGAATACATGGCCTAAAAAGAACCTGATGACGATGACGAGTGAGGTGAAAATGCCATTGAGACTCCGACCAGACCAAAAAGCACTTGTATTGCACCCGTGGTGCTGGGAACTTCGACTTATGTCTGCTTTGTCCGAACTGGACGAAACTTCTGCCTTATGGCTTCTTCGCCTTATGGCTGCTTCGATTGGATTTTACCGTGTAAAATCTTGACTTCGTCATATGACGCTTGAAATGCACTCGAAGTGCATACGGCTTCGGAGATTCATACTCCACTCGGAATACGGGAAAATGCCCGCTCATGACTTTTTGATTGGTCGAAACCAACCGACGGTGCGACCAATTTAGGTCAAACACCCAGGACACACTGTGGGGCAATGGCCAGTAAAAAGTGTGAAGGATGTCATAGTCTTCGCCTGATTTCCTGAGTTGCCTGGCAGTAGAATTTCAGCGGACACAGGATTCCCGATCGAAGAAACAACGCACAGCTCATAAACAAGAACAGAAAGTCAACAGTTGAAACTATAGCAGGTACGTAGATCAGGCGTCCCTGATCTATATCCTTACCACATGTCACCCAGCTTCGTTGGCAGAGGAAGTGACATAGGTACCTCTGCCCCCTGCTTTTTAGAATAGTACAAGAGCAATGAAAAGAACTAAAACCGTTTGTTATAACGGTGTACACACACACACTCACTGTGGGCTTGGAACCATACCCATTTGCCCATTTGTGGTGGATGGAGTCCCCATTCTTGATCATTGTTGCAGGTTGGATACCATCTAATGACATCTATATAATGGATGGTTCAATTCCACACGTGCTTCGTTTGGTCAATGTCGATTCCAAGTACTTCTTCACCACCGGAGAGAGCATATTTTTCCAAATTACCCCAATTGTGGTGACTGAAACAAAATTTTGCCATGAGTCAATATTGGCATTCCGTCGGACCTACAAACGGTGGGTGATATCTATTGTAAATGGGTCGGGTTTGTCTGAAAAGTTTGTCTGAAATATGGTACCCCTAGATTGAGTTGTTAATCATTATTGTCCCAATTGAGACTACCACTTGGGGGTCATTTTTAGACTCACCCCAAATGTACTAAAACATCCATTTTTGGGGTGGCACTCCTGTGACCCACGTAAAAAAAAACTCCGCAACGAGCCGCGTACGACGAAAGGTCTGATACCCATGGAGTCAGATAAAACCTGCCAACTGCCGGACTGTGGTGAGAGAGTTCGCCAGTCAGCAGCGTTTCTGAAAAAAACACACGTTTTACTGTATCACCGGGAATCATCATGCATCATACATCATACATCATACATCATACATCATACATCATCATACATCATACATCATACATCATACATCATACATCATACATCATCATCATCATCATCATCATCATCCTCATCATCATCATCATCATCATCCTCATCATCATCATCATCATCATCATCCTCATCATCATCATCACCTGCATCATGCATCATGCATCATGCATCATGCATCATGCATCCTCCTCCTCCTCCTCATCCTCCGCATCCTCATCCTCATCATCCTCATCCTCATCATCATCGTAAAACAACTAATAATAATCATCATCAGCATCGCCATCACATTAATAGCAATATACAATATCAATAGCACTAATGGTGCTGATGGTACCAATAGTACTGATTTAGTACTAATAGTAAATGTGATAATGGTATTGATAGTAAGAGTAATGCCATACCCCTAATATAACCCCCCCAGTGACCATGGTAAAAAGTAGATCAATTCCACATGATTGGGACCATTTAGGTGGTGTTTCATATTACGGGGATGGGATTAGTAACAATGATGTTTTTTTTTTTTAAAAAATCACAATTATCAACATCAGCTCCAGTCATCAAGTGGGCTGGTGAACTGGCTGTCGGGCATTGTCGGGCTCTCGGGAACTTTGTCCAACAAATGGCTACCTATAAACCATGTGGTTTACCATCTAACATCTATATCTAATATCTATATCTATATCTACATGGATATCTAATATCTAATATCTATTTTCTTTATTGAGATGTGGGATCATTTTGGGGCAACGTGTACTGTATAAACCACATTCTAGGACTCATCCGGCAATTCTTCGACCTAACTCTACTATTTTGGGGATCCTGATTAGTGTGGGGATCCACTATTGTGTCAAGTTTCTCCAAAACAAGTCTGAATCGGTGTACTTGATGGGGGCGCCACTATTGTGACAAGACTTTGTTGGGGTAAGTGTTTCATTTTTTCAGTTTTATTGAAATTGTTTCTCATTTTTTAGTTGTTTTTTCAAGTTCTTTCATTATTTTTATTTCAATTTGTTCAGCTTTTTAAATTATAATTATTATTTTGTCATTTTTTTGTTGGAATTATTTTCGGATTTTTATTTCATTTTTCATATTTTTTCATTAGCAAATAAAATGTTTGTTGTGGGGGTCCACTATTGTGTCCAGCTGCTGTCTGAAGAAACAAGTTTTAAGGTTAATTATGACCCATCAGTAATAATCATATAGGATGCCTTGTTAAAACCAATTTCAAAAACAGCACTCACACAATTTTTCAAGGGGGTAGTCCATGAGCAACCCTGATCCTCAATAGTATCTTTGTTGTGGGGGTCCACTATTGTGTCAAGCTTTTTTGGAAGTAAAAACAATCCAAAATCATTCTCTCCTTTCCTTTTCCTGTCCTTTGCTAATACTGTTCTCTTTTTTACTTTCTTAGATCCATTCTTTTGGAACTCTCAAAATGTCTAATTTCCAAAAAAAATAGGCTGCCTTGTTAAAACCCAATTAAACAACAGCACTCACACAATTTTTCAAAGGGGTAGTCCATGAGCAACCCTGATCCTCAATAGTATCGTTTGTCAATTTTTTTTTGGAAGAAGTTAAAAAAATCAAAACCATTCTCTCCTTTCTTTTTCCTTTCTTTTGCTAATACTGTTCTCTTTTTTTTACTTTCTTAGCTCCATTCTTTTGGAATTCTCAAAATGTCTAATTTCCAAAATATAGGATGCCTTATTAAAACTCAATTAGAAAACATCACTCAAACAATTTTCAAGGGGGTAGTCCATGAGCAACCCTGATCCTCAATAGTATCTTTGTTGTGGGGGTCCACTATTGTGTCAAGCTTTTTTTGGAAGAAGTTAAAAAAATCATTCTCTCATGTCCTTTTGCTTTCTTTTGCTAATACTGTTCTCTTTTTTTACTTTCTTAGCTCCATTCTTTTGGAATTCTCAAAATGTCTAATTTCCAAAATATAGGATGCCTTATCAAAACCCAATTCAAAAACAGCACTCAAACAATTTTCAAGGAGGTAGTCCATGAGCAACCCTGATCCTCAATAGTATCCTTGTTGTGGGGGTCCACTATTGTGTCAAGCTTTTTTTGGAAGAAGTTAAGAAAAAACAAAATCATTCTCTCCTTTCCTTTTCCTTTCCTTTACTAACACTTTTCTCTTTTACACTTTCTTAGCTCCATTCTTTTGGTTTATCAAAATGTCTAATTTCCAAAATATAGGATGCCTTATTAAAACTCAATTAGAAAACATCACTCAAACAATTTTCAAGGGGGTAGTCCATGAGCAACCCTGATCCTCAATAGTATCTTTGTTGTGGGGGTCCACTATTGTGTCAAGCTTTTTTTGGAAGAAGTAAAAAAAACAAAATCATTCTCTCATTTCCTTTTCCTTTCCTTTGCTAATACTGTTCTCTTTTACACTTTCTTAGCTCCATTCTTTTGGAATTCTCAAAATGTCTAATTTCCAAAATATAGGATGCCTTATTAAGACCCAATTAAAAAAAACAGCACTCAAACAATTTTTCAAGGGTGTTCCTTTCCTTTGCTATAGCTTTTGTTTCTTACTTAGTTCAATTCTCCTGGCATCCTCTCCTTGATTTCTATAGTGTTTCTATTGGATTTTAACAATGTGTTTAATGGAGATTCTAGGTGTTTCTATGATATTCTATGGTGTTTCTAAAGGTGCGTCTATGGTAGCTCTGTGGGATTCCTATGGGGTTTCAAAAGGATGTCTATGGGATTTCCTTTGGATTCCTATGAGGTTTCTGTGGTATTTCTATGATATTTCTATGAGATTACTATGGGGTTAAAAAAAGATTCTATGATATGTCTAGAGGATTTCTTTGGGAATTCTATGGGGTGTCCATGAAGTTTCTTTGGAATTTCTATGGTGGTTCTATGATATTTCTATGGGATTTCTATTGGATTCCTGTGGGGTTCCCATGGTATGTCTATGATATTTCTCTGGGACTACTATTGGATTTCTATGGGATATCGATTGTATTTCTATGGGATTACTATGGGGGTTCAAAAGGATGTCTATGGGATTTCCCTTGGATTCCTATGGGATTTCCATGATGTTTCTATGATATTTCTAGAGGATTTCTATGGGATTTCTGAATGGATGCTATGGGAATTCTATGGTATTCTTATGGGATTTCCATTAGGTTCCTATGGGATTTCTATGATGTTTCTATGGGATTTCTTTGGGATTCCTATGGGATTCCTATGGGAGTTCCATGATGTTTCTATGATATTTCTATGGGATTACTGAAGGATTCCTGAAGGAATTCTATGAGATTCTTATGGGATTTCCGTGGGATTCCTATGGAAGTCCCATGATATTTCTATGGGATTACTATGGGATGTCAATTGAAATTATATAAGTTGAAATCAATTGAACATAAATTCAACTAAATTGAAATCAATTAAACATCAATTGAAAGTAAGTTGACACCAATGGAAAATCAATTGAACGTAAATTGAAATCAATTGAAAGTCAGTTGAAAGTAAGTTGAAATCAATTGAAATCAATTGAAAATCAATTGAAAGTAAATTGAAATCAATTGAAAATCAACTGACATCAATTGAACGTAAATTGAAATCTATCAAAATCAATTGATCAAAAACTATTCAGGACCCGGCACTTCAAAAAATCACACTAAAGTGGATCCAAAAATTGTTGGGTTTTCCCCACAAATCAGGATCCAACATTCCAAAAGCACCGGCTGCAGTGCAACGCCAGCGAGGGGCATCGTAGAGATTGCAAAAAGGATGTAGGCAATATCCTCAGCTCACCAAAGCTCACCCGACTTAGTCCGGTAGCCCAGGAGGGTTTTTTTGGGTCCCACCAGGTCCAACGACCAAAAAAAGTTCATCAGTTTGGGGGTCACAAGGTGAACTCCAACTCGTTGAGATACAATGAGATAAATGACGATAAATGTGCGGGCAAGCTTTCATTTGGGGATGTGAAGAACATATTCGCAAGAGGATTTGGGAGCAATGCTCATGGTTTTGTTGGTTTCATACGTAGCTGATATGCTGGGGGCTATCCCATGTTTGCCCTTCTCTGCCATCCAAAAGTCCCGGCCCAAAAGGCGTGGCATCCAGATACATAACAGGAAGTAAGCAGCATGCCCAAGGAGGGCCCAACCTCGCGACGGGCAACCCAAAGCCGAGAAAAATCCCAGCCACAGCAACTCCGGATGAATTCTGCATGCCTGCTACAACACCCATGACCACATGATGATTTGGATCGGTGTACTCTGCTGTACCAATATATAGACAGAGAGAGAGAGAGAGAGAGAGCAGTAGAAACCATGGAAATAAGAAGCGAACGTGTGGGCTTCCGAAAAAATGGAAAATCATAGATGGCATGCCCCATACAATGCCTTTGGGGGTGTTCCAAGCTTCCAAACAAAGAGCATGGCAGCGAAGCTGTTCTGAAAGATATATCATGATATATCATATCTAATTACAGTATATCTAAGAATAGTATGTCAATATTTTGTACAGTATATTACAGTTAAAGATACATCGAACTACAGTATAGTATAGTACAAATGTCAATCTCTGCTACACAGTAGGTAATCGCGTTTTCGGTACATAATTTATGGGACCCGTTTTCTCAAAAGAGTGTTACAAAAACGGGGCACCCCGAAACCATTGGTTTTCCTGGTAGAAAATGATACACCCGATGGATTCTGGCTTTTCCATGCTTTTCCGATGGCTTCAGAAACTCCCCTATATCTATCATCCATCCATGGATATCTCGATATAATTAATATTAATCATGGAACATCCCATGTCATTGCACCACTATACAAACATTTTGTGAATGCACCCCACAAACCGTCAAAGTTGGAAGGCGCAATTTTCACTACGCCGGGAGGCAAACACTTGGAACCCATACCTGGCGCAGTTGGATAGGGGGCGAAACTGGCGATTGGAACTCACGCAATTAAGAGCATGTATATTATGTACGTATATGTCTATATATGTCTACATACATATCATATGCATGAATATACTATGCATAATGATGCATATGTATAATCATACGTACATATTCTCATGAGTATTCATGTGTGTATAGAACTCTTGACTCTTGAACATAGGCATTCATTGTCCCGCGCCGTGCTTGTCTAACGTAGGTCTTCCTTCAAACATGTGTTCGCTACAAAAACCATCTACTACGGCTCCCTGGTGCTCAACCCTCGCATATACGATCAATCCGTGGAAGCATTTGAGACGGCGTGCCACCCTCTGGTGAAACAGAATCCCACGATGATTTGAAATTCACGCAGCTACAGCAGTGGAATCAAAACATTGTCAATTCAACAGATCTTGCAATATCCTATCAAGATACCCTCTGGTAACCAAACATGGGAATTGGAAATCCCCTATAAATGGAGCTTTAAGGGGAAGACCAACTAAGAATTGGTGATTTTCCATTGCCATGTTTGATTACTGGAGGGCATGTCATTTACAACCAGTTTTCACACGAACAATACACCATTTCCAACCAGTGAGTTGTAAATTGTGCTCAGGTCCACAAACATCTGTTTCCATCTGGTTTCCATCTGGTTTTTGCTTGTGTGTCGCATCAGCACTAAACAATGCTGTATATACATATATGTCAGTAAAGGGGTATGTGAGTACATGTGATCCCCTTCCCCCCCTGCGGGTGGGTGGGGGTTGGTGATAATATATGGGGATATGTATATAGTCAAAGGAGGATATAGATATGTATGGGCATCTATAGGTAGTATATAAATAATACATATAGATATTATATAGATTGTGAGCGTATATATATATATATATACAGTATATATATATATATGCATAATATATATATATATGTATATATATATACGTATATATATATATTGTATGTAACCGGTGCATAGATAGCACATAGATAGCACACAAATAGTATATAGATAGTGTATATTACAGTGTATAGGCATAAGATAGTGTAAGATAGTATATAAGGGGCTGGTATGAATATATGGCAAATGGGTAGTAGAAGACAGTAGAAGACTTTGACTGTGAGAGTGAAAAATAATATAGATATTGTCAGTACCAAAATTGTATGGAATTGCTGCAGTGGGCAATCAGCAGGCTGTATTAGTGCTAGATGAAGATTGCATATATGTCGTAAATAGGCAATAGGTAGGGAGTATAGAGTTAGTATGTGCATGGCATGGGTAGATAGGCCAAAAAGCACCAATACCGCGCAAAATACAAAGTAGAGTCCAAAGTAGAGGGGTATCCCTGGGGGTGGGCGGTCGAGAAACAGGATCATATAATGTGTATGTATATATATATATATATCGACACACACACACACATTTGGACGAAGGTGTGTGTGTGTATATACTGTATATATATATATATGTGTGTGTGTGTGTGTCGGTGTATACATATCACATATACATAATTATATATATATATAAATTATATATACACATATGTAGATGTCTATAAGTATGTGATGTACATATACACACAGCAACATAGACTGTATAAATCTAATCTACTGTATAGGCTTTGTAGGGCGCTTGCAGGGTATGCACTGGTGCTGCTTGGAGCTTTTTCGTACTGGCTGGATGAATTGAGGCAAGGCACTTCTTCAATTTGGATCTCAATCAGAAGAAGAAAAGCAAAGCAAATCGCCTTGGTCGGTGCAAAGCAGCCGGTAGTTTCAAATGGGATGACACTCTTGGCTGAAAAAAACGGACGCTTTAAGAATCTTGGAGAGGTATGTTTGTGGTGCTCTTAAACTTGCCAAGCACAAAAAGGAACCAGAGTGCTCTTGAACGCAGTTCAACCGGTTGCAAGTTGATGCAAACATGGTACATAATTGTATTCTTTGGATTTGTATGATAGAAATGCAAGAATGCAGTAAGAATGCACAGATTCTCTGCCGATTCATTCGCTAGACTTCGGGAAGTAGATCAACCGGACAGAAACAATTGTGAGGGCACCCCAATGTGCACCCTTAGAGACTTCCGTCGAATGTGCCAGCCATCAACGGCTTGTCTCTTCTTTGGGGATGCTTCATGATAATTCCATTTGCAGGAGATGGACACAAAACACAAATCATCTCGTTTGAGGGAGCTAATGGGGAATTGCAGCTTTTAAGCACAAATCCTGCTGATCTCCACAAAAGAGGCTCGTGTTCCTGAAATTGATTCTATCTAATATCAAGATATCCATCTAACCAAGCCAGACAATTGAATCTGCGTCATTTATATCCATTCATGTTCGTTCCTTGCAATATACGGACATCTATTTTATTTCCACTCAGCTTTGTTTTAATATATATATATATACATGTATATTTATATACGTATGTATACATGTATATATGTCATGATGATCTGGAGCTATGCGTGCAAACTAACATACATATATATATATGTATTGATTGAAATATCTTTTGAAGTCCATTTACATCCATTAATACACCCAGCGAATTGACGATGTTGCCAAGCTACTGCGTACATACAGATCAAACCTCGTGCGTTACGACGACAGCTACGGCATCAGGGATGATTTGTGAGAAACACGATAAGAAACCTATGGGACAACAAGACTGCCAACAATACCCACGGGTAATCTTGGGTGCATTTCCCATCAAAATGACACAATAAGTCCATAAGACAACATGACATGATGAAAGGTTTCAAACACAAACATGTTCAAACAGTGGACACCCGTGCTTGGTACTCAACGATGAACATTCCACCTGCTCGCGCGATCGCCGTCCATTCACAGGAGATCGAAGAATGTGGATTCATATTCCATCATATTCCCATTAAGGCTGGGATCATGGAAAAAACAATAGAAAACCATCCCCAATTATGTGGCTTTCTGAAATGGGATGTAGATGGATGTAGCCTAATGGATGGTGAATGGGATGGAGACTCTGGCAATGGTTTCACATGGTTTTACATGGTTTTTACCACATTTAGGACCAACGTTTTGGTCCAGCAAAGCGCTGATGCAGGGAATCCTATTCCTTCACCAGATGTCCAATCCATACACGTTCTGATGATAGTTGCTTGATAGCTGCTGGATGTTGCTGGAATAGCAAATTCTGTTGTTTCTATCCAAATTCTACCATTTGCTAATCGACTCTTCTGTGTTGGTGACCTCCCTTGTTGGTAGCCATGACTTTTTTTTTGGTTGCTCACCATCCATTTTTTCTATTTCATGGTTCTGTCTCGGTATGTCTCGTTCTTTTTTCTCCTGTTCTGGCTACTCTGATCGACCCATAATTAAAATAATGTAGATCATCAGCCCTGTGCCTGTTGTAGGCTGGAACATCTAAAGAAATACAACACATTACACCCATTTTCTCTTTGAGATTGGCAATCCCAAAAAAGGGATGGTCAATGATGGTCATGTTCCCAATAAACTGTTCGACTGTTCGCTTCTTTTCCAAAATGAATGATGTTTTGCCCAGCAACCGAAGGCTAAGCGCTCGCGACCTGGGTGACAAAACATACAAATGAAATCAAATGAACATACTGTAAATCAACCATGTTTTAGAAGTTTTAGCACCATGAATCTCAGTACATGTTCAGTACATGTTTAATCTTAACCCAGCTAGTGATTGGGCACCCCATTTTGACCCAGACCCACATGAGCAAAAGGATGAATTTTCACGGATCGCAAAAGAGGCAGAATATGTTGATAGACACGGTTTTGTTCCAGACCAAAAAAAAGGTATTGAGCAAACAACATATCCGGGCATATAAGCACCACGGAACACCATCAAAAATGCTATTAAAAAGGCCAAACGTAATGGAATGTTTGGGTCGTTTTCGGGCCTAGGTTCCTCAGCAGTTAATGATCCTCTATGTTGGTATATTTCACAACGTTTTACCCAAGGTTTTCTCTTGGTGAAGTGATGTGAAATGGTGACATGATCCAATATCTTGCAAGACACTCGAGTGCATCTCCAAGGCTATCATCTCTTCATGTTCAGTTTTCTTCCTCGGTTTCCTCAGCGGCTTTTGGTTTCATGTCAGTCACGTTGGCCCCAGTACCCAGAGTCTCTGTGTCTGTCTGCGTGTCTGATATGTTCAATCTAAGGACTACATGCAGCTACGTGCATACATGCACGTATGTATACATATGCATGATAAATAGATAGATAGATAGATAGATAGACAGATAGATAGATAGATAGATAGAATTACATAGATAGAAAAAAATAGATAGAATTAGATAGATATAATTAGACAGATAGAAGTAGATAGATAGAATTAGAAAGATAGAATTAGATAGATAGAATTAGATAGATAGAATTAGATAGATCGAATTTGATAGATCGAATTTGATAGATAGAATTAGATAGATAGAATTAGATAGATAGAATTAGATAGATAGAATTAGATAGATAGAATTAGAAAGAAAGAATTAGAAAGAAAGAATTAGATAGATTGAATTAGATAGATAGAATTAGATAGATAGAATTAGATAGATAGAATTAGATAGATAGAATTAGATAGATAGAATTAGATAGATAGAATTAGATAGATAGAATTAGTTAGATAGATAGATAGACAGATTAGATTAGATTAGATTAGATTAGATTAGGTTAGGTTAGGTTAGATTAGACTAGATTAGATTAGATTGGATTAGATGGATTAGATTAGTTTAGATTAAATTAGGTTAGATTAGATGAGATTAGGTTAGGTAGATAGTTAGATAAATAAAAAAAGAAAAATAAATAGATAGATAGATAGATAGGTAGATAGATAGATAGATAGATAAACAACATATAGAAAGATAGATGCTTAGATAAAAACATATAGATAGATAGCTAGATAGATAGATAGATAGATAGGTAGATAGATAGATAGATAGATACATATAGATAGATAGATAGATAGATAGATAGATAAGAACAGATAGAATAAGATAGAATAAGATAAGATAAGATAAGCTTTGATAGACAAACGCATAGATAGATAGATACATAGATAGATTAGATCAGATTAGATTGGATTAGATTAGATTAGATTAGATTAGATTGGATTAGATTAGATTTGATTTAGATTTCGATTAGATTAGATTAGATTAGATAGACAGATAGATAGATAAATAGGAAAAATGATAGATAGATAGTTTTACAAACAGATAGATAGATAGATAGATAGAATAAGTTAAGATAAGTTAAGATAAGATAAGCTTAGATAGATAGATAGATAGATAGCTAGATAGATAGATAGATAGATAGATAGATCAATTAGATAGATAGATGGATTAATTAGATAGATAGATAGATAGACAGATAGATAGATACATATAGATAGATAGACAGATATAGATAGATAGATAGATAGATAGGTAGATAGATAGATAGATAAATAGATAGATAGATAGGTAGATCTATGTTTGTTTATGTATGTGTGTACATTATATATATGTATATCCGCCGACCCCGGCCTTGGCCAAGGCAGGGGCGGCGCCTGGGACCACCGCAGGTGTGGAACTTCTCCTTCTTAGCTTTCCAAGGTCAAACCCATCTCGCAGCCAGCAAGCTGCCCCAAGGCCACATCGCGTAAACATTCTCCTGGCATGCTTCATCCTCCAGTTAAGACTTCCAGGCATTTGGACATGAAAATTTATATGCTTTGGGCAAGTACGTTTTCCTCCGGAAAGTTTTGTCTTTCAAGCCTAAAGCAGCCGTTCCCGCATTCCCCTAGTAGACCCTTCCAACCCTTAATGGGCGTCCAAGCCTGTTGTTGCCAGCCCCTAAACACCATCGCTTAAACATTCCCTTGGCATGCTTCATCCTGCAGCCAACAGGCACCCCAAGGCCACACATCAATGGCTTCTTATGGGCGTCCAAGCCTGCCGTTTGCCAGCCCTAAAACCCTTAAAACCCTTAAACCGCTTAAAACCCTTAAAACCCTTAAAAACCTTAAAACCCGTAAAACGCTTGATGGGCGTCCAAGCCTGCCGTTTGCCAGCCCTTAAATGCCATCGCTTAAACAATCCCTTGGCATGCTTCATCCTGCAGCCAACAGGCACCCAAGGCCACACATCAATGGCTTCTTATCGGTGTCCAAGCCTGCCGTTTGCCAGCCCTTAAACCCTTAAAACCCTTAAAACGCTTAAAACCCTTGAAAACCCTCAAAGCCCTTACAACCCTTCCAATCCTTAATGGGCGTCCAAGCCTGCCGTTTGCCAGCCCTTAAATGCCATCGCTTAAACAATCCCTTGGCATGCTTCATCCCACAGCCAACAGGCACCCCAAGGCCACACATCAATGGCTTCTTATGGGCGTCCAAGCCTGCCGTTTGCCAGCCCTTAAACCCTTAAAACCCTTAAAACGCTTAAAACCCTTAAAACCCTTAAAAACCTTAAAGCCCGTAAAACGCTTGATGGGCGTCCAAGCCTGCCGTTTGCCAGCCCTTAAATGCCATCGCTTAAACAATCCCTTGGCATGCTTCATCCTGCAGCCAACAGGCACCCCAAGGCCACACATCTTCTTATGGGCGTCCAAGCCTGCCGTTTGCCAGCCCTTAAACCCTTAAAACCCTTAAAACGCTTAAAACCCTTAAAACCCTTAAAAACCTTAAACCCCTTAAAACGCTTGATGAGCGTCCAAGCCTGCCGTTTGCCAGCCCTTAAATGCCATCGCTTAAACAACCCCTTGGCATGCTTCATCCTGCAGCCAACAGGCACCCCAAGGCCACACATCAATGGCTTCTTATGGGCGTCCAAGCCTGCCGTTTGCCAGCCCTTAAACCCTTAAAACCCTTAAAACGCTTAAAACCCTTAAAACCCTTAAAAACCTCAAAGCCCTTAAAACGCTTGATGGGCGTCCAAGCCTGCCGTTTGCCAGCCCTTAAATGCCATCGCTTAAACATTCCCTTGGCATGCTTCATCCTGCAGCCAACAGGCACCCCAAGGCCACACATCAATGGCTTCTTATGGGCGTCCAAGCCTGCCGTTTGCCAGCCCTTAAACGCT